GGACGGCGACTTGCTGCGTGCAACCGTATGCGCGACGGCGACTTGCTGCGTGCGACTGTGTGCGAAACGTTGACTTGCTGCGTGCGACTGTGTGCGCGACGGCGACTTGCTGCGTGCGACCGTGTGTGAGACGGCGACTTGCTGCGTGCGACCGTGTACGGGACGGCGACTTGCTGCGTGCGACTGTGTGTGGAACGGCGACTTGCTGCGTGCGACCATGTGCGGAACGGCAACTTGCTGCGCGCGACCGTGTGCAGAACGGCGACTTGCTGCATGCGAAGGTGTGCGGAATGGCAACTTGCTGAGTGCGACCGTGTGCAGAATGGCGGCTTGCTGCGTGCGACGGTGTGCGGATGTTGGCGACTTACCGCGTGCGACGATGTGCGACGAACGGCATGCGTCCGTGTACGGAAGCTGGCGACTAATTGCGTGCGAGGGCGTGCAATGATGTGCGAATGATCAGCTCCAACACTCTCCTGAGCTAAGTCTCCTCTCCGCTCTCCCCTCTTTAATCCTCCCTCGCTGTTCCCGTCCGTCGTTTTCACTGCTGCTAAGATTGCCCCCCCACGTGCCATGACTCTTCAAGTTGCTTTCTTGATTGATCTCTGCCTTGCTCTCTGCCGTCTTGCTCTCTGCCAGTTGTTCTTGCACTCACTGCAACTTCTGTCTCTTCCTGGTTGCTCCTTGTGCAAAGCCAGCAGAGGGCGCCAGTGGGAGCGTGTCAAAGCCAGCAAAGGGCGGCACACAATGGCAGTCCATGGCGTTATGGCAGTCTATGGCGTTATGGCAGTCCATGGCGCTATGGCAGTCCATGGCGCTATGGCAGTCCATGGCGCTATGGCAGTCCATGCCAAGGAGCAAGGAGGCTGAGGCACGCTAATGAGGAGCAGACGGCAAAGAGGAGGCTGCTGCACCTGGGGACGCCTGCATACAAGGGGAGCACGCCAGCATGCTCCTTCGACCCTCTTCAATCCGGCTAAGCTATCTCACTGAATTCGCACTGTGTTGTGCACGCACCACTCACTCGCTCGCACTTGTGCCTTCCGCTGCTTGTTGCGCTCGCTCCCTCCTCCTCCTCTCGCCCCTCTCATGGGCGACACCAAGGGACCCTCCCCAGGTGTGTGACAGCAGACGTCTGCCAGCGTAGGTGGTAACGTCAGGTTTGCTAAGGTACGGTACTGTCCTTGGTGCCCGCCCTGCAGCTGCCACCGCTGCCGCCGCTGCCACCGCCACTCACGCCACTCACGCCACTCACGCCACTCATGCACTCTCACTTCTTGCATCCCTCCAATTATCCTTGCTTGCATGCTTTCCGTATTTCTATTCTTTGACTTGCTACAGCCATGCTAATCGCCTTCCCTCTCACCTCCCTTCTCTGCTCCGTGCACTTGTTCCCCTCTTTGTCTCTCCTCATGCCAACTTCCCTCTGCCTACACCCCTCTGCCAGCACACCTACAGGCCGGCAGCAGCAGCGAGCATGGAGGAGCAGTGGCAGCAGCGTGGCGAGCGGGAGAGGCGAGTGGTGGGATGACGCACGGCCTGGGCTGGCTCTGCTGACCACTGCCCCCGCCCAACCTCCCAGCAGCACCAGCGCGACCGGCCGTGGCGTCTCTGAGTGGCGCTGCGGCAGCAGGGGGAGTGTGGCGGCAAGGAGAGGCGCGTGGCCGTGTGGGTGCTGCACGCATGCAAGGGGAGCACGCCTGCATGCTCCTTCGACCCTCTTCAATCCGGCTAAGATATCTCACTGAAATCGCACTGTGTTGTGCGCGCACCACTCACTCACTCGCTCGCACTCGTGCCTTCCGCTGCTTGCTTGCGCTCGCTCCCTCCTCCTCCTCTCGCCACTCTCACGGGTGGCACCAAGGGACCCTCCCCAGGTGTATGACAGTAGGCGTCTGCCAGCGTAAGTGGTAACGTCAGGTGTGCTAAGGTACGGTACTGTCCTTGGTGCCCGCCCTGCAGCTGCCACCACCGCCGCCGCTGCCACCACCACTCACGCCACTCACGCACTCTCACTGCTTGCGTCCTTCCAATTTTCCTTGTTTGCATGCTTTCCGTTTTTCTGTTCTCTGACTTGCTAATGCCATGCTAATCGCCTTCCCTCTCACCTCCCTTCTGTGCTCCGTACACTTGTTCCCCTCTTCGCCTCTCCTCCTGCCAGCTTCCCTCTGCCTACACCCCTCTGCCAGCACACCTACAGGCCGGCAGCAGCAGAAGGCATGGAGGAGCAGTGGGAGCAGCGTGGCGAGCGAGAGAGGCGAGTGGTGGGATGACGCACGGCCTGGGCTGGCCCTGCTGACCAGTGCCCTCGCCCAACCTCCCGGCAGCACCAGCGCGACTGATCGTGCCGTCTCTGAGTGGCGCTGCGGCAGCAGGGGGATGTGGACCAGTGGGAGAGTGACGGCTTGCAGGGATCCTGGTGGGAAAATCTGGTGAGGTCCAAGCCATAATAAAATCCTTCTCTCCCTGGCTCCTCATAATCGAGTTCTGTTCCTCTCTCCTTGGCTTGTGGAGCAGAAGCAGAGGGGGTTAGCTAAAGCAGAGGAAGCAGGAGCGGAGGGGACAGCGAGGCAGAGGGGATTAGCTGAAGCAGAGGGAATAGAAGGGGACGGAGGGCTAAAAAGCAGAGGGTGGGAAACTTGGGCACCGAGGTTCCCTACCCTTCAATATGTTCTACTCGCCCAGGTTTCCCACTCAGAGGGTGGGAGACCTGTGCACCCATCATAGCCATGTGTTTGAGGAATATAGCCATTATCACGGCTATATTCCTTTCCTGCCATCATAATGGCAGTATTTCGTTTGAGAATTACTCTCTTTCTATTCCCCTTAGGGAACTACTCTGATGATGCTTCTCATGATGTGGTAAACTATGGGCGTAGAAACAGCTGGGCAACAGTACGGGGGTGTTAGCACATGCGTTGTGCCTTCTTCTCTGGACAACCGAAGCAGTTCCCTGTGGCAGTCAAGGCAGGAGGATGAAGACCACATTCGCTAGAGCTGAACCGGTTACATGGGCTATACTAGATTTCCAGTGACAGCAACTGCAAGGCCGCTCACTATAGGGACACTAACTGCAGGGACACTAGATACAGGGACGCTAACTGCATAGTCGCTAACTTCAATATGTTCTACCCGCCCAGGTTTCCCACTTCGAGGGTGGGAGACCTGGGCGCCTATCAATGTGTTCCCGAGGAATATAGCCATTATCACGGCTATATTCCTTTCTAGCCATTATATTTCCTTTGAAAATTACTCTCTTTCTATTCCCATTGGGCTATACTCTGACAATGCTTCTCATGATGTGGTAATTTGTGGGCGTAGAAACAGCTTGGCAGCAACTGGGGTGTTAGCACATGCGTTGTGCCTTCTTCTCTGGACAACAGAAGTAGTTCCCTGTGGCAGTCAAGGCAGGAGGATAAAGACCACATTCGCTAGAGCTTAACTTATTACATGGGCTGTACTGGATTTCAGGGACAACAACTGCAGTGCCGCTAACTAGAGGGACACTAATTGTAGGGACACTAGATACTGGGACGCTAACTGCAGGGACCCTAGATACAGGGACGCTAACTGCAGAGTCGCTAACTTCAATATGTTCTACCCGCCCAGGTTCCCCACTCCGAGGGTGGGAGACCTGGGCGCCTATCAATGTCTTCCCGAGGAATATAGCCATTATCTCTACTATATTCCTTTCTAGCCATCATAATGGCAAAATTTCCTATGAAAATTACTCTCTCTCTATTCCCTTAAGGGAACTACTCTGATGATGCTTCTCATGATGTGGTAAACTATGGGCATAGAAATAGCTTGGCAACAGTACGTGTCAGAACATTATAGCTTATGCTTTTGTGTAGGCTGTAGTGGGGTAGCCCATATAGGGTACAACCCAATTAGGGTTAGTACTTGTACCCAACTATTTCATAGTTCATTCATTCTCGTTTCAATTCTCTCATGGTATCGAGCAGGTTCCCTCGTGGGAACTGTTCCTAGGGCCCACCAATTCGACATTTTTTTCCTGCCCGGAGCGCGCTCAGCCCTAGCCCGAGTCGCGCTCCCCCCTTTTCTCGCCCCTGTCGCGCCGCCCTAGCGGCCCCCTCGCCTGCCTTGCAGCCCTCGCGCCGCCTTTCCTGGCCCCGACCCGCCGCCCTGCGGCCTCGTCGCCTACCCCGCGGCCATTGCACCGCCCTTTCCCGGCCCCGATCCGCCGCCCTGCGGCCTCGTCGCCTACCCAGCGGCCCTCGCGCCGCCCTGCGGCCCTAACGCCGCCCTTACCGGCCCCGGCGCCTACCTGCGGCCCCGGCGCCTACCTGTGCGGGCCCGACGCCTACCTGCTGGCCCCGCCACCTACCTGCGGCCCCGCCACCTACCCGCGGCCCCGCCACCTACCTGTGCGGCCCCGGCACCTACCTGCTCGCCCCGCCACCTACCTGCGGCCCCGCCACCTACCAGCGGCCCCGCCACCTACCTTGCGGCTCCGCCACCTACCCGCGGCCCCGCCACCTACCTGTGCGGCCCCCGCACCTACCTGCGGCCCCGGCGCCTACCTGCGTGCCCGGCACCTACCAGCGGCCCCGCCACCTACCTGCGGCCCCGCCACCTACCTTTGCGGCCCCGCCGCCTCCTCTCAGCGGCCCCGCCGCCTCCTCCCAGCGGCCCCGGACGCCGCCCTATCAGCGGCCCCGCCGGACCGCCCAGCAGCCGAGCCGCCCAGCAGCCGAGCCGCCCAGCAGCCGAGCCGCCCAGCCGCCGAGCCGCCCAGCAGCCGAGCCGCCCAGCAGCCGAGCTGCCCATAAGCTGAGCCGCCCAACAGCCGAGCAGCCGAGACGCCGAGCCGCCCAGCAGCCGAGCCGCCCAGCAGCCGAGCCGCCGAGCCGCCCAGCTTCCGAGCCGCCGAGTCGCCCTGCAGCCGAGCCGCTCGAGCCGCCCTGTCCGACAAGAGCAGCGCCTCTTTCACAGCACTGCCCTCACCCTACTGTCTGCGCTGCTAGTCTACTACTGTCATGGCTAACCCTAGTGTCCTAGCTTTTGACGCTGAGGGTCGGGCCATTGACTTTGACGTCTGGATAGATGACTTGCAGCTTTTCTTACAGTGCGATAGGGCAGACGGTCTCTCTCTCTCTTTGACCTCACCTCTGGTGCCTCTCCTGCCCCTGCTGCTGATGCTGACGCCACTGTTCGCTCACAATGGGCCACGCGCGATGCTGGTGCACGTCTTGCTGTGCGTCCCCACCTGCCTACCTCTGAGCGTACACACTTTAGCCAGTACAAGAGTGCTCAGACCTTGTACGCCGCTGTAGTTGCACGCTACTCCTCCCTTGCCACTGCTGCACTGAGCCGCCTCATGCTACCGTACCTCTTTCCTGACCTTGCTGCCTTTCCCACAGTCGCTGACCTCATTACGCACCTTCGCACTAGTGACACTTGCTACCGCGCTGCGCTTCCTGCTGAGTTTTGCGCCAAGAACCCCCCCCCCCATGTCCATCACTCTCTACTACATAGTCACCCGCCTCCCTGACTCCCTTCGCGTAGTCAGGGACCACTTCCTCTCAGTCTGTCCCACCACTCTCACCGTTGACCTCCTCGAGAAGGCCCTTTTAGCAGCAAAGAAGAGCATAGTCGCTGTAGGAGCCTCTCGTGGTGACCCGCGCACCCCCATCTTTGAGGGGTGTTCCCCCTCCCCCCTTTTGCCCTCTGTTGCCTCTGCTGTTGCGGCCGGCCTCGTTGGGCTTGAGTCGGTCGGTGTGGCTTCTACCCCTAGCGGGAGACACCGCCCTAGCAAGGGCAAGGGGGGAAGGGGCGCTGGAGGAGCTAGCGGGGGCGGTGGAGGCGGCGGTGGAGGCGGCGGAGGGGGTGGGGGTGGCGGCGGGGGTGGTGGCGGGGGTGGAGGTGTCGGTGGCGGCAGTGGAGGCAGAGGCGGCGGCGGTGGCGGTGGGAGCGGAGGTGGCGGGGGTGGCGGCGGTGGAGGAGGCGGTGGCGGAGGAGGTGGAGCTGGTCGGGGTGGCGCTGCGCAGAGGGTCGGCTCTGGTGGTGGTCAGCGCCAGCAACAGCAGCAGCGCACTCGTGACATCCCCCCCCCCCCCCCCTCAGCAGCTCCGTGAGTGGTACGCTGCACGCCAGCGGGGTGGGGATACTGGTCCGTGCACCTACGTCCTCCGCACCGGCGACCGCACGGGTGAGCAGTGTGGGGGTGCGCAGCCCACCCAGCGCTGCTTTGGCCGCCTGACGGACGCTTGGCTTCATCAGTTTCCGGAGGCCACGGAGATCCCCCGCTGGGGTGAGCTGTCTAGGGCGGGCGTAGATATCTTTGATCTTGACTTTGATGCTATTCTTGCTGCCATGTATGCTGTGACTATTAGTGATGAGGGTGACTGTTACCGGTGTTTCCCGCCCGACCCGGGCATTGAGACTGCTGCTCTAGGTACTGGTGAGACTGCTGCTCTAGGTACTAGCGAGGCTGCTCCTCTGGGATGCTAGTGCGTCTGCTTCCTCAGCTACTGGTGAGTCTGCACGGACGCTCGGACGGGCCGACACTTGGCCACGTTTACTCGTCGGCCGGGGTCGAGCCTGTACACACTGTCCACTACGTCTCCTTCTGTCCCTGCGTCTCGTCAGGTAGCTGCGTCAGGTCAGGTGTTTGCTGCAGCGTCCAGGTCTGGTCCTGAGTCTGCCCCCTGCTCGTGTCGCCTCCTGTCTCACGAGACTCTCCTTTGGAACCACCGCCTTGGTCACCCCTCCCTGCTTCGTCTCCGAGGCATGGCCTCCCGTGTCCTTGTTTCTGGTCTTCCCCGGTCCCTCCCTCCCCTTCCTCTGGGGCCTGGCCCTACCTGCGTCCCCTGTGTCGAGGGGCGGCAGCGGGCTGCCCCTCACACCTCCCAGTTTCCTCCGACGGAGGCCCCGCTGCAGACGCTTCACATGGACGTGTGGGGCCCGCCCGCGTTCGTGGGCAGGGTCACGAGCGCTACTTCCTGTTGGTGGTTGACAACTACTCGCGTTACACCACAGTCTTCCCCTTGCGCAGCAAGGTTGATGTCACTGAGGTGTTGATCGACTGGATCCGCGCAGCTCGTCTCCAGCTCAGGCAGAGCTTTGGCTCGGACTTTCGTGCTCTGCGTCTGCACTCTGACAGAGGCGGAGAGTTCTCCTCTGGCTTTCTGCAAGCCTACTGTCGTGCACGAGGCATCCGCAAGACCTTCATGCTTCCGGACTCTCCACAGCAAAATGGGATTGTTGAGCGCCGCATTGGCATAGTCATGGACGTCGCTCGTACGTCCATGATGCATGCGGCTGCCCCCCATTTTCTGTGGCCGTTTGCGGTTCGGTACGCGGCGCATCAGATCAACCTTCACCCCAGGGTCTCCACACCGGAGACCTCCCCAGCCTTGCTGTGGACGGGGAAGGTTGGCGATGCGTCTGCGTTTCGTGTCTGGGGATCTCGGGCGTTTGTCCGCGACTTGTCTGTAGACAAGCTGTCCCCTCGTGCTGATCCCTCCGTCTTCCTGGGTTTCCCCCCTGACGCGCCAGGGTGGCAGTTCTACCACCCCACCTCTCGCCGTGTTCTGTCCTCCCAGGACGTCACGTTTGACGAGTTGGTCCCCTACTACCGCCTCTTCCCCTACCGCACTCCGTCCCTCCCCCCGCCGCCGCTCTTCCTTGTACCAGGTCCCCCTCCGGTAGACCCCCTCTTCCCTCAGGTTCTGTCCCCTTCAGGTGTGTCCCAGGTAGACGTAGTCGAGCTTGTCGAGGTCACTGGTGACTCTGGTGCTGCTAAGGGTGCTGAGCCTGGGGGTGCTAACTCTGGGGGTGCTGTGCGTGTGCGTGCTACACCTGGGGGTACTGAGACTGGGGGTGCTGAGCCTGGGGGTACTGAGTCTGGGGGTGCTGAGAGTGGGGGTGCTGGGCCTGGGGGTGCTGAGCCTGGGAGTACTACGCCTTGGGGTGCTGAGCCTGGGGGTGCTACTACAGGAGGTACTGAGCCTGAGGGAGCTGGGCCTGCTTGTGAGGCGTCCGGCGGTGCTGGGCCTGGAGGTTCTCCGGGTGCTTCGTCTCGGCGGGAGCCCCTCTCTCCACAGGAGCTGCGCAAGTGGTTTGGGCGACGCTGGAGGCGTACTGCTGGAGCTGGGGTTTCTTCGACTGCTGAGGGTGCTGGTGCTGCCGGTCCCGGAGGTGCTCGTATGGGAGGTACTGGAGCTGCTGGGCCGGCGTGTGTGTCTGGAGCTGGAGCTGCTCCGGGTGTTGGCGATGAGGCTACTGCTGTCGGTCTTGGTGGCGGTGCTGCTGGAGTTACTGGAGCTGGAGGTGCTGCTGGCGCTGGTGGCTGCAGCTGGGGGTGCTGGTGCTGTCCTTGCTGTGTCTGGAGTCGCCGCGCGGCCTCGGACATACTTCGTTCCGCTCCTTCAGCAGGTTCTTGGTCTCCCGCCTTCCACTGGTCCTCCTCCTCCCTTAGAGTGTCAACAGCCTGTCCCGTCACAGTTACGGTTACAGCCGGCCTCCCCGCTGCCTGCTCCTTCTCCCTACACTGGTCCTACTGGAGGTCTTGCTGAGCATCATGAGCCTGCGTCTCGCCCTACGTCGCCTGCCCGTTCTGCTCGCGCTAGTGGTCGTAGTTCGCGTGAGCGTCCTCCTCCTGTCCCTGGCACGCACCGGATGTCTCTGCGTCCGTCCACTGCTCCTCTGCGTGCCCTGTTGCCTTCACCTCCTGAGTCCTCTCTTCCTGCTCTTGCCGACCCTCAGTCGGACTCTCTTCGTGCTGCCAGTCCTACTGTCACGCGTCTCCTGGCTACTGTCGTCACTGACCCTTCTTTTGAGTCCACTGCTGCGTCTGCCCTAGTTGCTGAGCTCGTCGACTTTGCTGCTCGGTGTCGTCTAGACTACGCTGCTAGTCTTGTCGCTGAGTCTGACTCTGTCTGTCCTCCGTCCGTCGGGGGTGAGTGTGCCCTTGGCACGGACGTCCTTGAGGACAGGCAGGAGGAGTTCCAGTGTCTGGCTGCTGCTTCACCTCATCTCGTGTCCGTACTGCTTACCCCTGAGGGAGACCCGGATGCACTTGACATCCCGACTCCGCGCTCTTACGCGGAGGCGATAGAGGGTCCCTACTCCTCTTAGTGGCAGGCAGCTATGGACACAGAGATGGCTTCCTGGAAGTCCACAGGCACCTACGTTGACGAGGTTCCCCCACCTGGGGCGAACATCGTCAGTGGCATGTGGATTTTCAGGGTGAAGCGGCCGTCGGGTTCCCCGCCTTTCTTCAAGGCGCGGTACGTGGCTCGTGGCTTCAGTCAGCGGCAGGGAGTTGACTACTTTCAGACCTTCTCTCCCACCCCGAAGATGACCACTCTTTGGGTGCTGCTGCACATAGCCGCTTAGCGCGACTACGAGCTTCACTCTCTTGACTTCAGCACTGCTTTCTTGAAGGGTAGCCTGCACGAGGGATCTGGCTGCGCCGCCCACTTGGCTTCACTGGGACTTTTCCTCCTGGCACCGAGTGGAGCCTCCGACGGCCAGTCTACGGTCTCTGCCAGGCACCGCGTGAGTGGCACGACACACTGAGGACTACGCTTGCGGCTCTTGGGTTTGCTCCCTCTACTGCTGACCCGTCGCTGTTTCTGCGCACCGACACTTCTTTGCCGCCGTTCTACATCCTCGTGTACGTCGACGACTTGGTCTTTGCCACAGCTGACACTGCTGGACTCGCCCACGTGAAGTCCGAGCTGCAGAAGAGACACACGTGCACAGACCTGGGTGAACTGCGCAGCTACCTTGGCTTGCAGATCACCCGGGACAAAGCACAGGCGCACTATTACCCTGACTCAGTCACACATGGTGCAGCAGGTCCTTCAGCGCTTCGGCTTCACGTACTCCTTGCCTCAGGCCACTCCTCTTCCTACTCGTCACTCGCTCTCAACTAAGCCTTCGGATGAGGCCGTAGAGTCGAGTGGCCCGTACCCAGAGCTTGTTGGCTGCCTCATGTACCTTATGACCTGCACTCGACCTGACCTTGCGTACCCTCTTAGCATTCTCGCACGCTATGTTGCTCCTGGGAGACACAGATCAGAGCACATGGCTGTAGCGAAGAGGGTGTTGCGCTACTTGTGCAGTACGTCGGGCATGGGGCTTGTGCTTGGAGGGCGGAGTCCAGTGGTCCTCACTGGGCACGCAGACGCTTCTTGGGCGGACGACCAGGCTACGCAGCGGTCGTCACAGGGTTACACCTTCAGCCTTGGTTCTGGCTCTGTTTCGTGGCGGGCTACCCGCTCGTCTTCTGTTCTCGGCTCCAGTTGTGAGGCTGAGATCTACGCCGGGGCCATGGCTGCACAAGAGCTTCGCTGGCTCACCTACCTGCTGACTGACTTTGGAGAGGTGCCTCGTTCTCCTCCAGTGGTGTACGTAGACAACAAGGCCATGCTAGCCTTGTGTCTAGAGCAGAGACTGGAGCACAGAACGAAGCACGTTGCTCTGCGCTACTTCCTTGCTTGTGAGCTACAGCAGCGTGGTCAGCTGCGCCTTGCGTACGTGGCCTCTGAGGCCAACACTGCTGATATCTTCACCAAGGCACTTGCGCCTTGTGATCATCAGCGCTTCTGTACTCAGCTTGGTCTTGTGCCTGTCTTGCCTCACTTGCTCACCTCTTGACCTTGCTTGTACTGTTACATATATATACACCTGCTCTTGCTTGTCTAGCTTTCTTTATATATATGTACTCCTGCATGTGAACTGGCCTTGTGGCCTTGAACTTGTGCTCGGAATGTGTGGTGACTTTGTGATCCACTCTGAGCTTGCTTTGCTTTGCTTTGCTTGACTGGTCTTGTGACCGCTTGTTCTCCCCCACTTTGCCTATGGGGGTGTGTCAGAACATTATAGCTTATGCTTTTGTGTAGGCTGTAGTGGAGTAGCCCATATGGGGTACAACCCAATTAGGGTTAGCACTTGTACCCAACTGTTTCATAGTTCATTCATTCTCGTTTCAATTCTCTCAGTACGGGGGTGTTAGCACATGCGTTGTGCCTTCTTCTCTGGACAACCGAAGCAGTTCCCTGTGGCAGTCAAGGCAGGAGGATGAAGACCACATTCGGTAGAGCTGAACCGGTTGCATGGGCTATACTGGATTTCAGGTAGAGCAACCGCAGGGCCGCTAACTATTGGGACACTAACTGCATGGACACTAGATACAGGGACGCTAACCACAGGGACACTAGATACAGGGACGCTAACTGCAGGGACACTAGATACAGGGTCGCTTACTGTAGGGACACTAGATACAAGGTCGCAAACTGCGGAGACGCTAACTTCAAAATGTTCTACCTGCCCAGGTTTCCCACTCAAAGGGTGGGAGACCTGGGACTCTAACTCCAGGGACCTTCCAGCCATTAATGTCCCGACCAATGCGTAGGAGATCAAATCTCCCAGGCAGTGCTTTGGAAACTACCTGGGAGCCACCTCCCAAGGGGTTAGGTATGCAGAGGGGGTCAGCTAAAGCA